CATATACTTGGATTTTCAACACAAATATATTGGAAGAGTGCCAGGCTTATAGTAGGTGCATGATATGGGGAATGAACCAACGTATGTCTTCCCTCTGCACCAAATAATCTGAAGAATTACTGGGAAAATGATTCCACAAATGTGGCAAAACCACCTGCTTTATTTCTGTGGGATTAAAATAAAGTGACTATGCACTAGATGCTGCTCACGCTGCTCGCTTCTGTGAGAAAATTTGAATACCAGATCCAAAATAGAATGAGAGAAATGTAAATACTCTGATTCCCTTAGCAGAAGGCAAGTTGTTTAGTTTTCTACTTTGGAAAAGGAAGACACCTAAATTGCAGAAAACTCAGCGAGAACAGACATCTAAGGGTTTGATCATCCTGGAGCAGAAGTGGATTTCCATGCACTTCTCTAATGGCACTTACAGACATGAACTATGAAATAATTAGGAGTCAAAGCAAGAACTGACCTTCAAGATGGGAGAAAAGGTGTAGCAGACCTTAATAAAGTAGAGAAATGGCAGCTAATAGTGAAACTACCAAAGTAGAAATGATTATGCCTAAATGCTGATAATCATTTGTCAAGTAATATCTGAAACATGAACAGTAGAGAGGAAAGAGCACTTTGAAAACCTGAACTCTAGTTCCATCTCTGTCACTAACTAGCTTCATATTTTACCTTTGCCTGCTTCAATATCCTCATTTGCCAAAGATTGTGAAAATACTGGCCTAATCTACAGTCACATCTTGCTTAACAATGGGATATATGTTCTGAAAAATGTGTCTTTAGGCAATTTCAGATGGTATAACCTGCTATGCACCTGGGCTATGGTATAGCCTCTTTTTTTTTTTTTTTCTGAGATGGAGTTGGATTCTTGCTGCCCAAGCTGGAATACAATGGTGCGATCTCGGCTCACTGCAACCTCCACCTCCCAGGTTTAAGTGATTCTCCTGCCTCAGCCTCCCAGCTAGTTGGGATTACAGGCACGCACCACCATGCCCAGCTAAATTTTTTTTTTGTATTTTTAGTAGAGATGGTGTTTTGCCATGTTGGCTAGGCTGGTCTCGAACTCCTGACCTCAGGTGATCTACCCACCTTGGCCTCCCAAAGTGCTGGGATTACAGGCATGAGGCGCTGTGTCCGGCAGCCTCTTGTTCTTAAATTACAAACTTGTACAGCATGTTACTGTACAGAATACTGTAGGCAACTGGAACACAGTGATAACTATTTGTATATCGAAATATATCTAAACATAGAAAAGGTACAATAAAGGATGGGCACAATGGCTCACGCCTATAAATCCCAGCACTTTGAGAGGTGGAGGCTGGTAGATCACCTGAGGTCGGGAGTTTGAGACCAGCCTGGCTAACAGGGCAAAACTCCATCTCTGTTAAAAATAAAAAAATTAGCTGGGTGTGGTAGCACACGTCTGTAATCCCAGCTACTCAGGAGGTTGAGGCAGGAGAATTGCTTGAACCTGGCAGGTGGAAGTTGCAGCAAGCTGAGATCACGCCATTGTACTGCAGCCCGGGCAACACAGTGAGATTCTGTCTCAAAAAAAGAAAAAAAATGTACAGCAAAAATAGATATTATAATCTTTTTTTCCCTTTTCTCTCTTTTTTTTTTTTTGAGACGGAGTTTCGCTCTGTTATACAGGCTAGAATGCAGTGGCATAACCTCTGCTCACTGCAACCTCCACCTCCAGGTTTAAGCGATTCTCCTGCCTCAGCCTTCTGAGTAGCTGGACCTATAGGCAAGTGCCACCACAACTGGCTAAATTTTTTGTATTTTTGGTAGAGACGGGGTTTCACCATGTTAGCCAGGATGGTTTCAATCTCCTGACTTCACGATCTGCCCAACTCAGCCCAAAGTGCTGGGATTACAGGTGTCAGCCACACTGCACCTCGGTACCTGGCTAATTTCCTGTATTTTAAGTAGGGATAGGGTTTCATCATATTGGTCAGGCTGGTCTTGAACTCCTGACCTGAAATTATCCACCTGCCTCAGCCTCCCAATGTGCTGGGATTACAGGTGTGAGCCACTGAGCCCAGCCTAATTTCTCTACACCATCAGCAACTTTATTGGTTGATTGAGTTTCACTCTTATTGCCCAGGCTGGAGTGCAATGGTGCGAGCTCAGCTCACTGTAACCTTCACCTCCCATGTTCAATCGATTCTCCTTTCTCAGCCTTTTGAGTATCTGGGATTACAGGTGCCTACAACCACACCCGGCTAATTTTTTGCATTTTTAGGAGAGGTGGGGTTTCACTATGTTGGCTAGGCTGGTATTGAACTCCTGACCTCAGATGATCCACCTGCCTTGGCCTCCCAAAGTGCTGAGATTACAGGTGTGAGCCACCACCTTATTTATTTATTTTTTGGGGATAAGTTCCCTCTCTGTAGCCCAGGCTGCAGTGAGGTGGCGTGATCTGAGATCACTGCAGCTTCTACCTCCCAGGCTCAAGTGATTCTCCCACCTCAGCCTCCTAAGTAGCTGGGACAACAGACACGCATCACCACACCTGGCTGATTTTTTGTATTTTTGGCAGAGATGAGGTTTCACCATGTTGCCTAGGCTGGTCTTGAACTCCTTGGGTCAAGTGATTTGTTCTCCTCAGCCTCCCAAAGTACTGGGATTACAGGTGTGAGCCACTATACCTTATTTTTATTTTTTTGAGATGGAGTCTTGCTCTGTCCCCAAGCTGGAGTGTAGTGGTGTGATCTCAGCTCATTGTAACCTCCACCTCCCAGGTTCAAGTGATTCTCCTGCCTCAGCCTCCACAGTAGCTAGGACCATAGGTGCTCGCCACCATGCCTAGCTAATGTTTGTATTTTTAGTAGAGATGGGATTTCACCATGTTGGCCAGGATGGTCTCAATCTCTTGACCTTGTGATCTGCCTGCTATGGCTTCCCAAAGTGCTGGGATTACAGGTGTGAGCCACCGCACTGGCCTATTTTTATTTTTAATTATAGCCAACCTACTGGGTATGACATGGTGTCTCATGGTAATTTTGATTGACATTTCCCTAATTACCAAAGATGTTAGTATTGTTTCTTGTGCTTATTGGCCTTATATTTACATTTATTTATTTTTTGGTAAAAAATCTATTCAAGTTATTTGCCCATTATCCAGCACACGACTATATTTCATAGAGCTACTGCTTTGAAAACTGAAATTCTATTTAAGTATAAGGTATTTTTACTGTTATGAGTTGGGACATTGACAGGCATATAAAATTCTAATAGAAAAAAATAAGAAGGAAAATAAAATATGTTGTAATGATACATGAAAGAAGAAAAACACGAACACATATATCATGCTCTCACCCTAAAACAATTTACACAAGACAAGCAGAAATGGCCAGGTGGGTGGTGGCTCACGCCTGTACTCCCAGCACTTTGGGAAGCCCAGGTGGAGTGGATCACCTGAGGTCGGGAGTAAGAGACCAGTCTGACAAACATGGAGAAATCCCATCTCTACTAAAAATACAAAATTAGCCAGGTATGGTGGCACATGCCTGTAATCCCAGCTACTCAGGAGGCTGAGGCAGGAGAATAACTTGAACCAGGGAGGCGGAGGTTGCGGTGAACCAAGATTGCACCATTGTACTCCAGCCTGGGCAACAAGAGCGAAACTCAGTCTCAAAAGAAAAATAGAAACACTCCAAAATGCTAATAATAGCTGTTTCTTGGTGTGGGATTCTAGGTAATCTTTCTAGTTACTTTTCTGTACTATTTTATAGTTTTCTATTTACATGTGTAAGAAAAGCAAAGGAAAATACTATCTTTAAAAACTGAATTAAGAAAAGACACAAGAAACCATGGAATAGTAAGCTATTAAATAATCATCATTAACAGGTGTAACTCAGCTCCATAATACCTCTACTTATCTCAGTTTCCCCTACTTTTGTAGGAAAGGATTTTGTGATGAAATAGTTTCTCAATATTATTAGCCAGATTAATAGATATACGGATAGAAAAACAAAATCAAGTATGCTGGTATCTTTTTTTTTTTTTTTTTGAGACGGAGTTTCGCT